CAAACGAGATTAGAGTTCCAAGCCTCTCCAGCCCGCAGGAAAGCAGCAGCTCCCTAATTTAATTCGCGGCCAGACGACATCTCCCTGCTGGCTGGGCACTGGGGGCACAGCAACACAGCAGGTACAAGAGCAGGCAGCAGAAGGGCCTCACCTCTCTTACGTGGGCCTGCTTTCCTTCCCCGCGGCCCTAAGAAGATACATGCCCCTCAGCAGGGTGCTGCCTGGCTCGGAGCAGACGGCCTTAGAGCCACCCAGGAAGACAGCTCCCTGGGGGCCACGTGAGGACAGTTCCTCATGGAACACATCTCCCTGTGCACACGCCGGTTACCTCCTCCCTCCCCAGGGTAATTCCTTCTGTCCTCAAGCGCACCCCAGTGGGCGGTGGGGGGGATCAAGATCTTCCTCAAATGATGGTTTGCGTGTGCCTGCATGCTCAGTCGCTCAACTGTGCTCGACTCTGTGTCCCCGTGGACTGAAGCCCACTCGGCTCCTCTGTCCATGGGATTCTCCAGGCAAGAACACTGGAGTGGGTTGCCATTTCCTCCTCCAGGAGATCTTCCTGACCCAGGGAACAAACCAGTGTCTCCTGCACTGACGAGTGGATTCTTTACAACTGCACCACCAGGTAAGCCCAAATGATGGTTTATTTTGCTCTTAACCACCAGAACACAGCACCCCCTAAATATCTGCAGAGTTAAGTAGATGCAGAACAGGTGGGGGCTGAAGGCTCCCAGAGGATGTGTGACAAGGCCTCAACCCTGGAGCAACCTCTAGGCTGATATCGCCTTCCCAGGTCTTACATAAGCCCAGAAGCCATGGGACTAGTTTGTTCCAATGAACACATCTTGCCCAACTCCAGGTCAGCAGGTCATGGAGAAGCCCAGCCTCGCTGGGTCTCTTGGCAGAATAGCTGTTCTCACTGTGCTCTATACGGAGTCCTTTCACTATCTAGATATTTGTCCCATTCTCCTTCCCATACCCTTGCTGGTAATTCTAGGTTATCCTGATGGCCACACTGAGTGACTTACCGGCCAGGTAAGAGACACATAACCACAGTCAGGCTGCAGGTACATCCCTCCTAGCACCCAGCATTCATAGCATAGTAACGCTGGAAAAGGACCCCTGGCCTGATTAAGGCTTTTGTTTCCCAGGTGAGGGGACCTGGAGCTTGAGAAAAGACCAAGGGCAAGCTCTGGATAGTGTACCTGGATAGGGACAGAACTGCCAGGAAATGGAATTGCAGAGATTTCTCCACCATCATCTGGGTGACCCACCCCCCCCCATCACGTCACAAACCTGCGGATGCCTCAGTTTTCTCAGAAGATTCAGACTGCCAGTACGCCAAACCCACATACGTCCTCAAAGTTAAAAAAACCAGAGAATATTATCTAATTGAAGATGAGTCCAGATGCCTAGGTTAGGATCAAAAGAAACCTTAAGTTTCAGCTGTTGACAAACATACTAAAACCCACAAATTACCACTGATCAACAACAAAAATAGAAAAACCTCATCATCAATTTCCTAGGGCAGAGAATTAAACTGGAATTCCCAACCATGCAAATTAAAACAAGGACAGCTTTTCAAACACATCAGATGGGCAGAAATTAAAGTCTGGTAATACCTAGTGCTGGTAAATATAAGGAACAAGAACCCTCATGGCCCTGAGAATATGTTGGTAAAACCTCAGTGGACAGCACTGACATCTATAAAATGGATGGTGCACACACCTTAGGACCGAGCACCTTCCCGACTTCTGCTTCTCCCCCAGAGAAACCCTTGCAACTGTCTGAGAGACAGGATACTGTAGCCTTGTGAGGACAGTGAAAAGCAAAACCCACCTAACTGTCCCCCAGGAGAGGAATACACTGTGCATTTAAAGTGAATGAACTGGATCTGTACGTATCAATGTAAACCAATTTCACAGACACCAGTGGAAAAGGATACATGCAATATAATTAAAGCCATGTGCATTTCAATAACATTATTCATAAATTGATACAGATACAAGGATTAAAAGAACAATAAGGGGATTTAAAAAAAATCATGCAGGAAAATTAGAAAGAGAAGAGCTGGGGCATCCCTGGCAGTCCAGTGGTTAAGACTTTGCCTTCCAATGCAAGGAGGTAGGGATTTGAGATCCTTGGTTGGTTGGGGAGCTAAGATCCCACATACCTAAGTGGCCCAAAAGCCAAAGCATAAGACAGAAACAATGTTGTAACAAATTCAATAAAGACTTTAAAAACCGTTCACATCAAAAGAAAAAAAAAAAAAAGAGAGAGAGAAAGAGAGGAGAGAAAGCAGACAGGAGTTACAATGTCCCTTAGGAACTAGACACAGACTTGCAGAAAAGAAGCTGAAAGTTGCTGCCTGCAGAGGGGGGGCTGTGACCAGAAGGGAAGGCTCTGACTCCACCACCCACCCTCCTTCCTACCCAGACACACAAGGCTGAGACAAGGAAGCTGTGGGTGCTGCAGAAAGCAGGTGGGGATGAGGCTCGGGCTTTGAAAAGGAACTGAAGTCTAAATATTTAATGGTGTTTGACCCCTAGATCCCCCTCCTACCCAAACTAGGGTGGAAGGTGAACATACCAGCCATGGAGGGACTCAGGAGTCATTTCTCAAACAGCTGGCTTAAGCAGCCCTGAGTGTTACCCAAGAAAAATGCAGATCCAGGGCACTGAGTGTAAACCTAAAAAACTAAAGACCCAGGACCAGGGGCAGAGTGACAACTGCCTCCTAATACCCAGTGAGTCCAACACACATCTGCATGTGGCTAAAGTAGATCCACCAACCTACTGTGGACCCCAACCACCCTACACACAAGACTGAACTGTATCGAGGTGCCTGATCTCAATGCTCCTTGACCTACAAAAATTACCATTTCATACAGTTCAACCTCTCATATTTCCAATACTTTCCTTCTGCCAAACTGTCAAAAACAAACAGCAGACATTGTGGGTTTTCATCCTGAAACATTTCAGTCCTTCTCTCCCAAGGACAGCGATGGATACTCAACACAATCACAACTCATCACCACATTTAAGAAAAGCACCCAACTGACATTCCAAGGTTCACCTGAAAGCACTCTTCCTTCACTCCCCAATGCAACTGCCAGTGGTAACAAAAAAAATCTTAAGCCCTAAAACGCATGCAACTTCCTACTCCCAACTCCCAGGGCCAGCAGCTGGGGAAAGAGCCAGGCCACAAGGAGGGCCTCGGCTCAAGCTGCTGAGTCAGCAACACACGGGCAGGTGCCTCCTGGAGACAAAGGGCTTCCACCCTCACTACCTGCCCAGTTCAGAAAAAGGGCTGTCCTGACGCTGTGGCAGCGGAGGTAATTGGAGTCAGAGCTCTTGTCTGGTCCGAGTTGCCTCCCCCTGGGCCTGTGATGCCCCCAGATGAGGGATCTGCACCTTTCCACTGGGCAGTACCCCAGCTCTAGGACAGATGCCCCTAAGAGGTCTGAGTGAACCCAGGGCACCTTCAACTCTCTTTGGGAAGGCCACACAGGGTGGGGCGGCCCAAACTCTTTCTCCACAAAGCTTACGGGTCACCACTACCAGTGCCAACAGGAAACAATCTTCCATGAAGTTAACAATGTTATGAAAGAAGAAAAGGAAAGTAGCCTTCAACCAAACCGACACACCACTAAGGCTCTTTGTCTTATCACCTTGCAACACCTAAAGATTCAACTAGATGAAGGTACATTGGCAGATATGCCCCTAGTGAAAACGCCTGACAGGCAGTTTTTCCAAGGCAACCAAAGGTGCTCGGTCTCCCTTTGAACCCCATGCCCCTCCAACTGGTATGAGTCTCAGTCAGGTAGAGGATACGGAGCCTCTCCTTCCCCAGTGCCTGCCTACTGGCTTCCTCACTGCCTGGGGAAGGGGTTGACCAAGGCCCATAAAGAAAGCAAATCCAATTCATATCTACCAGAACAGGCTGGCTGACTCCCAAATACAGTCACCCCACAATGCTCCCTCTCCCAGACCTCCAGAGTCATCAGCTGAGGGGCAGGCGATGCCCCAGGGGCTCTGCCCTGCCTCTCCGCTCCCACAGCACCCTGTGCCCAAGCCTGACTCCCTTCCTCAGCAGTGCAGGGTTGGGGCCCGCATTCCACTCCCCTCACACTCCCAGGGAATGGGCTGGCACCCCGGGCCCTAAAGTCCCCTGTCCTCACTTCTACTTAGCTTCTCCTCTGTGGATTTAACTCTTCCTGTGGGTCCCACCCTGCTCCACCCAGTTCCAGATTCCGGTTTTCCAGTTTCTGTCTTCTGGGGTCCCTGAAATTGTATGGCGGTGTGCAGAAAGTTGCCCAGGAAAATCATCGACAAAAAGAAAACAAGTAAGACAGATGTTGATAGTATTTACTATCAACTCAGTGATCTGCTGAGCAAACAGGACCAGAAGCTCACAAAGGGCTGGGGAGCCTGAGGTCGAAAGCCAGCAGGGATCCAGGCCAAGCTCTTCCGCGCAGACTCCTCCCTCAGGAGCGCCGGCAAACTCCCCGCCTCCGGCTCTGGAGACGGCGGACCGTGGGGTCGGGTGACCCGGCCAGGGGTCCGAACAGCGCCCGAGAAGGGGCACGGGCCTCCCGGCCAGACTGGCAGTGCATTCCGGCCGCCCGCGCGCAGAGCTTGCTTTTCTCATCACAAGCACGTCCGGGGGGGGCGCGAGGCCGCTCGACTCGCCGGGCTGCGACTCCCCGAGGGTCCTCGCTTCCAACGGCCTGGGACGTTCCTCATCCCCTCGCCCGCCCGCACTCACCGCGCTCCGCCGCCGCCGCCTCCGAGAGCCTGGGCCTGCAGCCTGAGTGTCCGGGCAGCCGCTGATGCTGGTGCCTGGGCAGCCGCCGTAGCTTCCCGCAGCCGCCCCTGCGCTAAGTACAGCGCCGGGCCCCGCCCCGTGACCGGCTGACTCACCACGTGACCACCCGNCCCCCCCCCCCCCAGCCCTGGAGCGTCACGTGGCCTCCAGCACCCAGCTTCGCAGGGGTTCTGCTTTGATCCGGCGCCCTGCAGGCACCGGCTCATCGCAGGGCCCGGGAGCAGGGTTTCTGAGTCCCCCCTGCCTATCCCCGGCGCACTGGGACCCTTGCAGAGAAGAAGGGGGCTGCAGGCGGCCCTCAGGGCCTCACCTCGCCTGGCGAAATTCCCCGGGGCCGCCCTGGACGGGACGCAGGTATCAAAGCCTCGATCCCTACTTGTGGGGAGAGGATAGTTCTTCCTTATTTCATTGATCTAGAAACCACTGCCAGAGATGGGGGCATCGAAACATCAGGCTTCCCAGAAGAGCCTTAAAAGGCTGTTAGCTTTAATAGAATGTCCCTATCAGATATGTAAGAATTTTTTTTTTTTTTTAAGTAGTCCTCTGTCCATGGAATTCTACAGGCAAGAGTATCGGAGTGGGTAGCTGGTTCCCTTCTCCAGGGGATCTTCCCAACCCTGGGATCAAACCCATGTGCCCCGCATTGCAGGCGGGTTCTTCACCATCTGAGCCTTCAGGGAAGCCCAACAAGAACACTGGTGTGGGTTGCCACGCCCTCCTCCAGGGGATCTTTCCAACCCAGGGATCGAACCCAGGTGTCTCACATTACAGGTGGATTCTTATTTACCGCCTGAGCCCCCAGAGAAGCCCAAGAATACTGGAGTGGGTAGCATATCCCTTCTCCAGGGGATCTTACTCAGGAATCCAGCCGGGGTCTCCTGCACTGCAGATGGATTCTTTACCAGGGAAGCCTGAGTTATTACCACCGAGTACTAATTTTAAGAGCTGCATCAGAATTTCTATAAAGGCATGACAGGCAAAAATCTGTTTCGAAAAAGGGGTGCCAGGTGGCCTGTCCCGAAGAGGATGTACATAGCAAGCACAATGTTATATTTGGAGTTTACTTCCGGATGGGGGTGCGTGCAGAGGCTGATGGAGACGTTTGAGGGGAGGGGTCAAGTCCCACCCTGCTCCATGAATCCACAGATGTTTCTAATGCGGATGACAACCTTGCCAGGTTGGTATCATCCCAGTTTTGTTCAAGGGACTCCGGGAAAGTCTGACATTTTATCCTCCTGCTCCTTTAGTAAGAGAGCTATAGGTCTGACCAAATCCAAGAGGCCTTGACTGGCTGCTGTGTCTTGCAGATGCCTGGCCATAAGCTGTGACACTGTCCCTGTGCCTTCCAGGGACCTTCAGACAGCTTTGTGGACACATGTGCTCTCATCTGTTTGGTCCCAGTTAAGGATAAGAGGGGAAGGAGAAAAGACTCATCTATGGATGTGAGAGTTGGACTATAAAGAAAGCTGAGCGCCGAAGAATTGATGCTTTTGAACTGTGGTGTTGGAGAAGACTCTTGAGAGACTCTTGGACTGCAAGGAGATCCAGTCCATCCTAAAGGAGATCAGTCCTGGGTGTTCATTGGAAGGACTGAAGTTGAAGTTGAAACTCCAATACTTTGGCCACCTGATGTAAAGAACTGACTCATTTGAAAAGACCCTGATGCTGGGAAAGATTGAGGGCAGGAGGAGAAGGGGACAACAGAGGATGAGATGGCTGGATGGCATCACTGACTCAATGGACATGGGTTTGGGTAGACTCTGGGAGTTGGTGATGGACAGGGAGGCCTGGCATGCTGCGGTTCATGGAGTTGCAAAGAGACACGACTGAGCGATTGAACAGAAATGAACCCATGGTTGGTACACCCGCAAGTGCGTGGAGTATCCAAGGAACTTAGTGGCAACAGGGGGGGTGAGGAAGCTCCAGCCTTGGGCTCCAGACTGCAAGTCAGTGTTTTGCCAAGTCACATTCGTATGACATCAGTCCTTCTTGAATTCCATAGAAGTGCTCGTAAGAGGAGGCATGAATAGGGAGGACACGCACATGATGGTGATACATCTCTCTCATTAAGAGGTAGAAATTCCTTTTGAAATAGAACAAAAGAAAAATAAACAAGTGCTGCAAGAGTAGACTTGAACCCTTCCTGGGAGATCCAAGAGTGCTTCTTGGAGAAATACACCACAGAATTTATTTTACTTTGCTCTTTGCTCTCACTGGCTGTTAAGCTCCATGAGGACAAGGAGTTAGCCTGTGTTGTTCCCTCACCATCCTGTGCACATAGCAGTGTGCTCGTGTAATACATCATAGCTCATGTAACAGAGGATATACATGTGTTCAGTGAGTGAATTCATAAATGAATGAATAATAGAAGGATTAGTAGAATTTTGGCTTAACTTGCCAGGTCTGGGTCCAGGGTAGAGCCCTCAGAACTTAGAGAGGGCCTTGGCCTGTATGTGCAGAAGCTATTTGACTTCTGAGTTTCTGGAAAAGAGGCTAGGGTCACACCAGAAGAGATGTAAACATGTCCTCACAAAAGCTCAGATTCAGATGTTCATTGCAGCATTATTCACAATAACCGAAAAATAGAATGACCCAGTGTCCATAAAGCCAGTGCGGCAGATTGATACACAATAGGCCATGTGCCCATACAATGAACTGTTACTCGTTTATAGAAAGGAACAAAATACTGGTACATGTTACTCATTTATAAAAAGGAATGAAATACCAGTGCATGTTACAGCATGGAAAAAATCTTGAAAACATTTATGATAAGTGAAAGAAGCCAGTGAGGAGTACTACATGTTGCATGATCCCGCTTACATGAAGTGTCCAGAACAGGCAAGTCTGTAGAGATAGAAAGTTGATTAGTGAGTGCCTTAGCTTGGGGGCACAGACAGGGAGATGGAAGATTTGGGAGGTGATAGCCGAAAGATATGGAAAAGACTTCCCTGGAGGTCAAAGAGTTAAGACCTCACCTTCCAATGTAGGGGGTGTGGGAGCTAAGAGCCCAGAAGCTTGGAGGCCAAAAGACTGAAACATGAAACAGAAGCAATATTGTAACAAATTCAATAAAGACTTTAAACATGGTCCACACCAAAAAAAAATCTTTTAAAAAAAGTATGAGATTTCTTGAGTTACAAAAGTGCTATAAAATTGACTCTGGTGATGGATATATAGTGTGCTGTGCTGTACACAGTTGCTCAGTGGTGTCTGATTCTTTGCGACCCCTGTAGCCCACCAGGATGCTCTGTCCATGGGGATTCTCCAGGAATGTATCTTGTGAAAGTGAAAGTCGCTCAGTCATGTCAGACTCTTTGCCACCCCATACAGTCCATGGACTTCTCCAGGCCAGAATACTGGAGTGGGTAGCCTTTCTCTTCTCCAGGGGATCTTCCCAACCCAGGGATAGAACCCAGGTCTCATGTATTGTGGGCAGATTCTTTACCAGCTGAGCCACCAGGGAAGCCCCAAGATACATTTCTATGTATCTTTTACACATAGGGGAAAAAAAAAATTTTGTTCACTTAACATGGATAAATATTATGGTATGTCAGTTATATCTCAATAAACCTATTACAAAAAAAATTTTAAAGAGGGTTGATTAGGGAAGTACTGCAAAAGACCAATCCTTTTTGCCCCTACTTTTTTTGGCTATCCTTTAAAAAAAGTCCCGTTTCTAAAGAAATGCCTGATCTTCCCCCCCTTATTTGTAAACAGTAGTAAATTTTGTTTTTCTCAGATGTCTTTCTGCCAGCTTCTAAATCCAGAAGGTTAGGCTGGTGGTGGAGAGATTTTTAATGGATGTTCTGTTGATATTTACTGGGTTCTTTAGTAGCTGACTGGAGAAGGGAATGGCAACCCACTCTTGCCTGAAGAATTCTTGCCTGGAGAATTCCACGGACAGGGGAGCCTGGAGGGCTATTATTCATGGTATTGCAGAGTTGGACACGACTGTGCAACTAGCTTTCACCTTTTTCAGGTTGGAAGGGGAACGAAAAATGGATGATCAATCATCTATTTAAAAAAAATTAAGTCTTTGTCGAAATTGTTACAATATTGCTTTTTAAAAAGTATATATACACATATTGGCTTTTTGTCTTCCAGGCATGTGGGACCTTAACTCCCCAACCAGGGGTGGAATCCACACTGCTGCATTGGAAGGTGAGACCTAACCACTGGGCCACCAGAGAAACCCCTGGATCACCCATTATGTAATACACACCTTTTAAAGAAAATTCTTAACAGCCTTGTGATACAGAAGAGTTTCTTCCATGAAGAAGGAACTCAGAAAAAAAAAAAAAAGGAACTCAGAGAAGTCCTGATACATCCTATGTTACCCTGGCTTATTAAGGGCCGAGCAGCAGTTTTAACAGGACAACAGTAGTGTGACCCTGAAGCCCTGGTCCCTCCTCCTTCCTCAGGCAATAGGAGGCACCGTAACTCACATCTGTGGTGGGGTTTTAGAAAGGAAGAGTGGCTTTTTTCTGCTTAAGGCATTTTGTCTTCAGGAGATTGCAGTTAAAATGCAAATAGACCACCTGGAGAAGTAGCCCAAGCCACAGACAATTCCTATCAGTCTGCTGTAGCTCTGAAGTTTGTCCTGTGTCCTTTTGCAGAACAGCTCTTCTACTTCAGGCTCTCATCCCTCCCCAGACTGCTTGGAAGTTTCTGTCTTTTCTCAGATCCAAGAGCTTCGGCATTTGTCTCAGAGGCGGCAACTTGACACAGAGTGGGTATGGTTGATGCTCAGGTTGGCTTGTTGAGAAAGTTGTCTTGGCGTGAGGGTCTCCCATCTGGGTGGGAGAGCACTCAGCATGGCCGCTCTGAGCCTGTGATCATGGCGCCCCTGCGTCAGTGTTTCTGACTGGGAGGAGATAGAGTGTGGAGCCTGTCACGTGCAGCCGAGTCCAAGCTCGTTCTACTTGCACAACAAGCCAATAATTCAACAAGTCAAGAGCTGAGTTATTGGGGCAAGAAATAGGAATTTTATCCAGAAAACCTGCAGGCCCCGAAGATGGTGGATTAGAGTCCCAAAGACCCATCCTCTGCGAGTTGGAAATCAGGTTTCTTTTATACTAAAAGGGGAGATGGTAAAGCCCTGGTTCTGGAGGGCCTCCCGAGAGGATGCGTTAAATGTGTTAAATTTCTTCCTGCAGCAGTTCACTGGTGGGTCTGGTCAAGATGTGTCCTGGGAGCTAAACAAAGTTATTTTTAGCTTACTGCTCATTACCTGGGAGGAAGGGTTCCAGAGAAGTGCTATTATAATTTAAGCTTATAGGCAACATCCCTTTAGTGATTAACTTGTAATATAATAGAATACAAAGCTTCTTCCTTATTGTTTTACTTGGTTAACTGACTCAAACCCTCTGTTCTTCAGGTTCCTCTTTGGCGAGTAAGATGGTTGTATTTACTGCATATAATTGTGAGGACTAGGTGAGTGGGGCTCCATTCATTCCTTTAGGATTTACATCCCAAACCCCATGCAACCCCTCAAATAAATCTGGGTGCTCCCAATGGGCAAATTAGCTCCCACTGGGTCAAAAAGCCCATATTATTTAAGCCAAGCAGAACTGTAATTGGAATTTGTGTTGCAACCAGCATCCTTAGCTCCAGAGGTCCCTTTCCTGGGAGGCTGACAGCACAGATAAGTTCTTCCTCTAGGGCTTTTGTGAGCCTGAAAGGTTAATCTCCTGAAACCTCTAGCAAGTAGAAGGAAGGGTTTGAAGGAGGATTTCTTTTCCCCACTTAGGCCCTGTTTCCAATTCATCCAAACCTACAGTGCAGAAGCACTGGATTCTACCACGAACCAGAATCTTTTGAGCTTCCCAGAGGGCCCTGACTGATGGGAAGTGTTGACGATAGTCTCCTGCACAGAGATCTTGTTACATGAAAACTAGGTTCGCCTCCTGATGGATGTTGAGCCAATAGATACAACCAAGCCAAAGATCAAGAGAAGGATGTGTTATTACTTGAGTCAAAGGTGAACACAAGGGATCTTTCCCAAAGTGGTGTCTCCCAGAGCAGCAAAACTGGTACATGCATATTAATGAAGGGGCTTGAGCCCAGGTAAATTAGTGTAGAATCAGAGCAAAGCTGACAGAGTCCAGGTCTTAGCAGATTGAAGTCAGGAGGAGGATCAACATTACCATTCCACCCCTACTTAGTGGAGGCCTTAGTTCCTGTAGAACTCAAAGATTTATTATTGTGCATTGCTTATTATTCATATACTATATCACTATGTATACTTACTGATTATAGTTAACACATTGTATTGTTATGTGTCCTTTGAGGAGGAACTAGGACTCTGCTTTACCTTGCACTGTTGTTTGACTGCCATTTCTCTGTTCCTGGATTCCTTTTTTGCCCTTAGAAGTAATTATTGAGACCTGTTCAAAAGCAAGCATTGTGGCCAGGCTTAGATCACAAAATGACTTAGACCAAAATGGGTTCTCTTATGTCAGAAAGGCCATTCCTGTTTCTCTTTCTCCAGGAGCCCCTAACGTATCTACTTACGACCTGCCTTCTCAACACTTGAAGAATATACACTTCACATTTGTACACTTCATCATTGTAGGTATTAATACATTTTATTTATATATGTGTGTTTAGTTGCTAAGTGTGTCTGACTCCTTGCGACCCCATGGACTGTAGCCTGCCAGGTTCCTCTGTCCATAGGATTTTCCAGGCAAGAATATTGGGGTGGGTTGCTATTCATCCTTCAGGGGATCTTCCCAACCCTGGGATGGAACCCTCATCTCTGGCATCTCCTGCACTGGCAGGTGCATTGTTTACCACTGAGCCACCAGCAAAGCCCAATACCATAGATAGGGAGGCTTAAATAAAATGACTTTATTTCTCCCTGTTCTGGAGGCTGGAAGTCTAAACTCAAGGTGCCTGCGGGGCTGACATCTGGTGAAGTGCTCTCCTTGGGTTGCAAATAGTGAAGTGAAAGTCGCTCAGTCGTGTCTGACTCTTTGCGACCCCATGGACTGTCCATGGAATTCTCCAGGCCAGAATACTGGAGTGGGTTGCCTTATCCTTCTTCAGGGGATCTTCCCAACCCAGGGATAGAACCCAGGTCTCCTACATTGCAGGTGGATTCTTTACTAGCTGAGCTACAAGGGAAGCCCAAGAACACTGGAGTGGGCAGCCTATCCCTTCTCCAGGGGATCTTCCCGACCCAGGAATCGAACCGGGGTCTCTGGCATTGCAGGCAGCTTCTTTACCAGCTGAGCCACCAGGGTTGCATATGCCCCTTCTTTCTGTGTCCTGTTGTGGTCTCTCCTCCACACAGGTAGGTGGAGAGAGGGGAAGCAAGCTCTCTGGCTTCTCTTCTTTAAAAAATTTTAAAAAAATTAATGTATTTTATATTTGGCTGTGCTCGTCTTAACTGTTTTGTGTGGGCTTTCTCTAGTTGTGGAGAGGGGGGCTTCTCTTCATTGCAGTCCTTGGGCTTCTCATTGCTGTGGCTTCTCTTGTTGCGGATCACAGGCTCTAGGTACACAATCTTCAGTAGTAGCGACCCACAGGCTCTAGACCTCGGGCTCCGTAGTTGAGGTGCTTGGGCTTAGTTGCTCCATGGCGTGTGAAATCTTCCTGGACCAGGGATTGAACCCTGCATTGGCAGGTGAATTCTTATCCGCTGCACCAGCAGGGAAGCCTCCTGGTTTCTTTTATGATAAAGGCATCATCATGACCTCATCTAAACCGGACTACTTCCCAAGGATCCCATCCCACATACCATCCCACTGGGGGTTAGAGCTTCAGCTTGTGAGATCTGGGGTGACATGATTCAGTCCACGGCAGGAGTTAGTACATGGACGACACTAAGCACCCAGCACCAGAAACATGATCGAATTCAAAAGTGCTGACAATGCACGTGTGTTTGTACTCAGACAGCTCCTTACGGTTCACAGCACATCCTCACCCTCAAAACTCTTCCACTGGGGGCCTTTTAGCAACCCTGTGAAGTAGTCTTTTTCCAGATGAGAAAGCCAAGGAGAGGCTGGGCGATTTGCCAAAGTCACATGCACTTAAGCAGTTAAGCCTCCTGACTCAGCCCACGCGTTTCCTGTCTCTTTTTCTGAGGTCACCGGCACCACCTTTAGTACAATGTGCCCCCTGGACTCACTCCAAGGCTGCTGAGAAGCTCACAGAGAGGTCTAAGTTAGAAGTGACGAGTCTGCTTGGGGTCCCATACTTGGGGGTCTCCTGGACTGCGTCAGACTGTTTCTGTCCTCGGTACTAAGTTTCCCCTAGAGATAAATCAGTTGACTTCACTCTCTGTGAAAAAGCAACACTATGCCATCAGCAGGCAATATGGAACATATAGTCAGTGCAGTCATCAAGAAGAGTGACCACAGGGAAGTACCCAAGTTTAGGGTTCTCCATCATTTGGGTCAAATGGGAGAAGAGTTTTATTTCCATACGCCAGCAGAAATCGTTTCTGAGTATGAGATTGTTTTTGCTAAGAGGAAGTAAAGAGTAAACTGTTCCCATATAAATGCAGAGTCATTGCCCTGGCTGGTGTTAGAGACCAGTGAGATCACCATGGAGGATGGTCTAATTTTTCTATGGATTACAGAAGGCTTGCTTGCTGTAGATGCCCAATAAGTACTTTTCAAAAATCAGCTAATCTTCCAAGAAGATCTTTAAAAAAAAATGTTTTGTTCATTTGGCTGCACCAGGTCTTAGTTGTGGCATGCAGGATCTTCAGTTATGACATGTGGGATCTAGTTCCCTGACCAGGGATCAAACTCAAGCTCTCTGCATTGGGAGCATGGCGTCTTAGCCACTAGACCACCAGGGAAGTCTCCATGAACATCTTTAATTTCTCATGAATTATTCTTTTGCTTGAGAATGTCTTCAGATACTAGAAATCCACGGCGAGAAATAGTCCTTTGTTTCCTCCAGATGTTGACCTGTGTGAGCTCTCCAACTTCTGTTTATCTTGGGTTCTGTGTAGGTGAGAAAACCTCCTCTAATTGGCACATGTGTGTGTGACTGGATGAATAAAGTATCTTTTGATTGTTAATCATCTAATTTGTGTGTGTGTGTGTGTGTGAAGGGAAATAGTGATCAGTCATCAGGGAGGATTTTGCAAATTTTGTGAATTTGCAACAAGAGCTGAGAAGGGCTTGAACATTTGTTGGGGGCAGGATATATAGCCCAAGTCCCCGCTCAGTTTTCTGCCTTCCATTCAGCCAGGAGCAAGTCTTCCTTGATGGCTTAGTGGGTAAAGAACCCACTTGCAATGCAAGAGACACAGGAGATGGGATTCCATCTCTGGGTCAGGAAGATCCCTTGGAGAGGGAAACTGTAAGTCAAGTGCAGAGAAAAAGAGAGCGAGCTGCGCAGTCAGACAAGAAAAGGGAAATTTATTAGAGGGAAAAGAGAGGGTGACTGGCTCTTAAAGAGGACCGGCACCCTCCATTTCTGACGGAGTCCTTTTTATAGCCCACCAATGAAAGATTCTCTGAAGGGATGGTCACGTAGCCGAAGGTCTGAAATCTGGTGGTCTCGCAGCTTTGAGAAGATAGGCACCAGTGAGATAACAGGATGCCATTTGGGCAATTTGGTCAGTCTCAAGGATCACTGTGATTTATTCTTTATTTGCAAGGTCGACATAATGAGCCATCTTATCAGTGAGACCCCATGTGGACCCTATCATTCCAGCCTTTTTGATTTAGGATAAAGGCCGAAGGTCAATCTTCTGTAACTGCTTCCTGCGGAACAGGGGTATCATGGGGGTGAGATAAGAAAAGACTGGAATGTGGGTCAAGGGGGTTTGTGTGGGGTCAAAGTTTTTGATAATCTGAGTGAGTTAGAAGTAGCTTGTGGATAGTTCAGTTGGTGAAGGGTTGTAAGCGATCCTGAAGAAATTTTGAAAAAAGACACATTAAACATGGACTGAAAGTTAGAATAAGGGTAGGTAGAAGGAGAGGGCCTAGAAAAGATAGGACCCAGGGCATCGAATTCCAATTGATTAACCAGTTTTCCCATGAATTACCGAGGTTGTGGGGTATTCTTGAGGCCCTGTTTGTCAGATTTCTTGCTGCTTCCTCTGGAACGCCTGATTTATTGGCATAGAAACAGCAGGCTTCCTCCAAAACTAGGCATAGGCCTCCTTTTTCTGCTGTGAGGAGGTCTAATCCTCTTCAGTTTTGGAGGACCACGGCTGCCAGGGAATCTAGCTGGTTTAGGATAGTGATAAGGCTATTAGCTATTTCTTCTAGACTGTCATTGAGGTCTTTAGAAAGGCTTTTATAGTAATTTAAAGAGGTTGTGAGTCCTGTGGTCCTTGTCCCAATCCCAGCAGCTCTTCCTAACTGATTAATAGAGGGATGAATTGAATTGCCCATCTGGGTCAGTTATGAGTTAGTGGATAGGAAGGGTCTGACTGTTAGGAGCAATATAAATATCTGGGAGCAGATATACCAGGGCACATGTTCCTGCCCAGTTAGTGGGAAGACATAAATAAGTAGTGGTTCCACATGAGAAAAATATTCCAGGAGTAAGAAGGCAACAGCTGAAATCAAAAGCAAATAGAAGTCTTTCTGGGAACTTGTTAGTAGTCTCTGAAACTGACAGTGAGGTCACCAGTGTAGCCCCTACAAGAGGAGTATTGGTGAAAAATTGAAAGCATTTCCCCTGAAATCAGGAACAAGACAAGGGTGCCCACTCTCACCACTACTATTCAACATAGTTGTGGAAGTTTTGGCCACAGCAATCAGGGCAGAAAAAGAAGTAAAAGGAATTCAGATAGGAAAAGAAGAACTGAAACTCTCTCTGTTTGCAGATGACATGATCCTCTACATAGAAAGCCCTAAAGACTCTACCAGAAATTACTAGAGCTAATCAATGAATACAGTAAAGTTGCAGGATATAAAATTAACACACAGAAATCTCTTGCATTCCTATACACTAACAATGAGAAAACAGAAAGAGAAATTAAGGAAACAATACCATTCACCATTGCAACAAAAAGAATAAAATACTTAGGA